TAGCCTTACTTTGGAACTACCATATCTCAGTGAACTCTTATTAGATGAAAAATTTCAAACATATAATTACCAAGGCCGAAACTAGAAAGATAGCGGCTAATGTATTGTTCATGGTAAAATTTTCTCGACGGCTGGATGATATATAGATGTATATGTATATATACATGTACATATAATGTGTCGAGGCAATTCTGTCGGACGTTTCAAAAGATGGTAATGTGAGGGATTTGTACTGGTTCATCAGGACAATGACCCATAGGACCCAAGGACAAAAATTGCTCGCGGAGCAGAGATCGTACAAGCCGTAGGTGAGCTGAACATTATATTAATATATACCGTGGGTTGAACGACTTTCCGTTATAGAAAGTTTCCCCTTCGAAATCGTTTATTAAGATTACAATTAAGCTATCCTGCCATAAATTTGACCCCAGTAGACGATGACGATGATAATAATAATACAAATTTAAAAAATAATACATGTAATAATAATAATAATAATAATAATAATAATAATAATAATAATAATAATAATGATAATACATGTTATAACAATAATAATCATAATCATAAATTGCCCTGGAGTTATCATCTTCAAGCTGTCGACTCGCTGTTTTCTGTGTACATGTATTGGCTCTTGCGACTGAAGACGAGACGAATACAGTTAAACGTGAACAACATTATATGATGGGGGGACCGGACATTTTCTCTGCAATATCCACAACGCAATCGACGGGACGCGAGACAAACTGCTTTTGCCAAGTAATTCAGTGGAAGTTTTTCACTTTTTCAAGTTTACCGATGAGGCAGTTTTAAGCTGGTTATATGATGTCAATATAATATAATATACATTTAGATAGAATGTTAGTGGGTGGTTGGCAGGTGCTCTAGTGTGGTTTGCTTCTTCTTTCCTATCAAACATCTATCGTCCTTATCTCCCCTTCTTCCTTTTTTATGTTTGTTACTCTCTTGTAACACCCCTAATCTTCTGGCGCTCATATGACCTTATGCAGTTGCAAGCGCCGTAAAACCTCTACTAAAACTAAAACTAAAAGATAGAAGGTTATAGAGTAAAGTTTCTTTTATAATCTAGTGTTTATTGACCTTGAAATGAAAGGAAATCACTCGGGTCCCTAAATATTGTAGACGAGACAGTTATACATCATTATCAACGTATTCGTGTCTGAGCATGAAGTGAAGGATTAGAACTGGCTGAAAATTTGCCGTGGCAGCTGCATTATTTATATCCTACCACTACAAATCAGCCACGTCGGTTCCAGTAAAGAGAAGCGACATATTATCGCGTGTTAGGGGTCAAGAATCCATGTCTAAACAAATAGATATTTTTACACAACCCCCCCCCCCCCACCAAAAAAACACACATACACACACACACACACACACACACACACACACACACACACACACACTGCGCTGTTTCTCCCTGTTAGGCTAACCCAGGATACATGGACATAAAGTATTTCAGCAGACAGGCCGATTTTTTTTTTCAATAAATTGTGACGCATCATGGTGAAATTAGGCAAAATAATGCAGTGGAAGAAAACGGTATTTTTCTTCCCGTTTGGAATTTTTATAGATTTTTATTTATTTTTTTGCTCAACACATTTTATGTCCATCTAAAAACATATTCCTGTGCGGATTTTACTGAATGAAAAACGCTGATTAAAGGCAAAAAAATGTAAACTTCCAGTTTCCAAGGACACTCAAGCTTTAGAACTCACCAAACTTTGGCCGTCATTTTTTCGCTAATTTTACAATTCACACCAGGTGACCCTTACCTCCTTCAATCGCAAATATCTCGAATATAATTCAAGATAGATGGGTATTTTTTCGTCAAACGCAAGACAAATGGATCGGCTTAAACGTTATACCAAGAACTTCATATGCCCAAAAATTGACAAGAGGCTGATTCCACCACGTCATTACACATAATTAACTTCGCCACACAGAAATCAAACTTGTGGTCTTTTTTGTTTTAGTAGAGGTTGGTTTTACGGTGCTCGCAGCTGCATAAGGTCATATGAGCACCAGAAGATTAGAGGTGTTACAAGAGAGTAACAAACATAAGAATAAGAAGGGGAGATAAGAACGACAGATGTTTGATAGGAAAGAAGAAGCAGACCACACCAGAGCACCCGCCATCCACCCACTCGTGTGTCCTGCAGGCAACAGCTGAAAACCTCACTGCTACACCCCAACAGTCGGCTTCGTAACACAAATGTACATTCCACCGTTACAGTATTCAGACAAATATTTAGAACAATAAAAAAAAAAAAAAAAAAAAGAAACACGAATATATAGAGAAAGGTACTACAGCACCTGGACATAGTTATGTCTACGGTAGGAGTTGTTTGTTTTTATAGAGGTTTTACGGCGCTCGCAACTGCATAAGGTCATATGAGCGCCAAGGGGTGGATGTCAACAGAGAAGTCCTTACTGGGAATCAGACTTACTCTGCTCACCTCTCTGGTTTCAAGTCTGCATCGACTATCAAGGCACCCCGGAAATAGCAGTTC